GGCCCGACCCGTCGCCCCTAGGCTAGTTGCCCTAGGCCCCGGCCAGCCCGTCGACCCCAGGCCCCGCGCGCTGCCCCTTGCGGCCCGCCCCTCGCCCCTACAACCCGCGAGCCGCCCTTGCAGCCCTACGCGCCGCCCCTGGTGACTCCCTAGCCGCCCCTACTGCCCTGCTAGCCACCCCTTACGGCCCTCTCGCAGCCCCTGCAGCCCCGCGTGCCGCCACTTGCGACCCGCCTGCCACCCCTAGGCCCTCGAGCCGCCTCTCTTGCAGCCTGCTTGCCGCCTCTCTCTGCTGCTTGCCCTATTCCCTGCGCTGCCCGGCTTCTGCCCGCCCTGCGTGCTGCGCCGCTATGGCTTCTCTTCTCGTTCTAGCGTTCGATCATGAGGGCCACCCGATCCAGTTTGACACGTGGCTTGACGACCTGCAGCTGTACCTACTGACTGAATCTAGGGTCAGCGTTTCGTTGTTTGATCATACGTCAGGTGCTGCTCCCGCCCCTCTCGCCACAGCTGACAGTGCGACTCGCTCACAGTGGCTTACCCGTGACGCTGCTGCTCGCTTAGCCATTCGCAACCACCTGCCGTTAGCCGAATGCGCTCACTTCGGATAGCAGAGGACAGCACAGGCATTGTACGACGCTGTACTCGCCCGTTACTCCTCGCCTGCCACTACTGCTCTAGGCCGTCTTCTCCTGCCCTACCTGTTTCCCGAGCTGTCCGCCTTTGCCACAGTAGAGGACCTGGTTTCCCACCTTCGCACTAGCGACGCTCGCTACCGCGCTGCCCTCCCGGCATAGTTCCTTGACAGGAACCCGCCCCCGATGTTCACCACTCTCTACCTTATAGTCACCCGCCTTCCTGACTCTCTTCGCGCTGTCAGGGACCACTTTCTCGCACTTGACCCCACAGCCCTCACTGTTGACCTACTCGAGCAGCACCTCCTTACAGCTGAGACTAGTATAGTCGCTGTAGGTGCCGCTTGTGGCACTCCTCGCACGCCCTTCTTTGAAGGGTTTTCCCCCTCCCCCCTTGCCCCCTCCTACGCCTCTTCCGCTGCTGCTGACGTCCCTGGTGCTAAGGATGTCGGGGCTGCTTCTGCTAGTGGGAGGCGCCGCAGCAGCAAGGGCAAGGGTGGCAGGGGTGGTGGTGGTGGCAGCGGGGGTGGTGGTGAGGGCGGCAGTGGAGGTGGTGGCGGCAGTGGAGGTGGTGGCGGTAGTGGGAGTGGTGGCGGGAGTGGGGGCTTTGGTGGCGGCGGTGGTGGCAGCGGTGGGAGTGGCGGTAGTGGCGGTAGTGGGAGTGGTGGCAGTCGGGCTGGAGCTACTCAGCGTGGAGGTTCTGGCGGTGGCCAGAGGCAGCAGCAGCAGCGTCGAAGCGAGACCCTGTCGCCCCAGTAGCTTCGTGAGTGGTTTTCTCAGCGTGGGGCGTCTGGGGGTAGTGGTAGCTGCCCGTATGTCATTCGCACGGGTGACCGTGCTGGTCAGACACGTGGGAAGCCTCACACTCAGCACCGCTGCTTCTCCCGCCTCGACGACGCTTGGCGCGCAGAGTTTGGTGACGAGGCCGAGCGCCCCTGCTGGGCAGAGCTGCTTAGGTTTGGAGTTGCTATCTTTGACCTAGACTATGGTGCTATCCTTGCTGCTATGTATGCATTGTCTGTTAGTGCTGAGGGTGACTGTTACCTGTGTGTGCCGCCTGACCCAGTTATAGAGGCTGCTGCTCTAGGTGCTGGTGAATCTGCTCTCCCTGGTACTGCGCTTGTTGAGGCCTTGCACACCTTTACACTTGACTCAGGTGCTTCATGCTGTTTCTTTCACGACAGCACCACCCTCACTCCTCTCTCTGCACCTGTACTGGTCAGACTGGCTGACCCCTCCGGGGGCCTAGTCATTGCCCGTTCCTCCACTGTTCTCCCGTGTCCGGCGGTTCCGTCCGGCTCACTGTCAGGTCTTCACCTCCCCTCGTTCTCTACGAACTTGGTGAGTACCGCTGCCCTCCAGGATGCGATGGTCACTACCACCACTCTTGGGGGTTAGCGTGTGTTGATCTGCACGTGTACACGGACGGGCCGCCACCTGGCCACGTTCACACGTCGGCCAGGTTCGAGTCTGTACACACTAGCTACTGAGCCTCCTCTGGTAGCTGCGTCTGCCCAGGTGTCCGCGTCAGGTTCGGTAGCACTCCCTTGCTCGTGTCGCCTCCTGACGCACCAGACCCTCCTATGGCACGACCGCCTTGGTCACCCCTCCCTGCCAAGCCTTCGTGGCATGCACTTCTGCCTCCTTGTCTCTGGTCTTCCTAGATCTCTGCCTCTCCTCCCGCCCTCGCCTGCCCTGCCCTGCCTTCGTTGCGTCGAGGGGCGGCAGGGCGCCGCTCCTCACTCCTCCTCGTTTCCCCCGACGTATGCTCCCCTGCAGACTCTCCACATGGATGTGTGGTCTAGCGGTACTGGTGCAGGAGGCACTGTGTGGCCACGAACGTACTTCGTTCCCCTACTTCAGCAGGTTCTTGGTCTCCTGTCTTCTGCTGGCCTTACTCCTCCCTTGCTGTATCCACCGCCTGACCAGTCACCTCAGCCGTTACAGCCAGCCTCCCCACTGGCAGCTCCCTCTCCTTACACAGAGCAGTCTGGAGGTCTTACAGAGCCTCCTGCCTCAGCAGGTTCGTGGTCTCCTGCCTCGACTGTTCGCGCTGTTTGCACTGGTCGTAGGGTTCCTCGTCCGCGTCCTCCTCCTGTCCCTGACACTCACGCTATGGCACTTCGTCCTTCCTCTGTTCCACTGCGTGTTCCTCTGCCGCCTCCTCCTGAGTCCTCTCTTCCTGCCGTCCCCGACCTTGAGTCTGACCTTGCTCGTGCTGCTAGTCCCACTGTCTCTCGTCTCCTTGCCACTGTTGTCACAGACCCTTCTTTTGAGTCCACTGCTGCGTCTGCCCTAGTTGCTAAGCTTGTTGACTTTCTTGCTGCGTGTCATCTCGACTACGCCACTAGTCTTGTTGCTGAGTCTGCGTCTGCCAGTCCTCCGTCCGTCGGGGGTGAGTATGCTCTTGGCACGGACGTCCTTGAGGATAGGCAGGAGGAATTTGAGTGTCTTGCAGCTGCTGTACCTCATCTCGTGGCCAAGCTGCTTGCACCTTAGGGAGACCCGGATGCACTGGATATCCCGACCCCGCGCTCTTACGCAGAGGCGATTACAGGTCCTTACTCGTCTCAGTGGCAGGCAGCCATGGATGCCGAGATGGCATCCTGGAAGTCCATAGGCACCTACGTCCTCGCAGTTCCCCCGTCTAGGGCGAACATGGTCGATGGCATGTGGATTTTCAGGGTGAAGCGGCCGCCGGGTTCTCCGCCTGCCTTCAAGGCGCATTACGTTGCTAGAGGCTTCAGTCAGCGACAGGGGGTCGACTCCTTCCAGACCTTCTCCCCCACCCCAAAGATGACCACTCTTCGGGTGTTGCTACACATCGCTGCTGAGCGTGACTACGAGTTGCACTCTTTGGACTTCAGCACAGCTTTCTTGTAGGGCAGCCTGCACGAGGAGATCTGGCTGCACCGCCCACCTGGCTTCACTGGGTCGTTTCCTGCAGGTACCCAGTGGAGCCTCCGGCGGCCAGTCTACGGTCTCCGCCAGGCGCCTCGCGAGTGGCACGACACACTGAGGACTACACTTGCGGTTCTGGGGTTTACTCCTACTGCTGACCCATCGTTGTTTCTACGCACCGACACGTCGCTGCCGCCGTTCTACGTCCTCATGTACATAGACGACGTGGTCTTTGCCAGTGCTGACACTTAGGCACTGACCCTTGTGAAGTCGGAGCTGCAGAAGAGACACACTTGCACTGACTTGGGTGAACTGCACAGCTATCTTGGCTTGCAGATCACTCTGGACAGAACCCGGCGCACCATCACCCTGACTCAGTCATACATGGTGCACCAGGTCCTTCAGCGCTTCGGCTTCCAGTTCTCCTCGCCACGGCCCACTCCTCTGTCTACTAGCCACTCGCTCTCAGCTCCACCTTCGCACGAGTCCGTAGAGCCGAGTGGTCCGTACCCAGAGCTTGTGGGTTGCCTCAAGTACGTGATAACGTGCACATAACCTGACCTCGCGTACCCTCTCAGCCTCTTGGCTCGCTACGTGGCTCCCGGTAGGCACCGAAAGGTGCATTGGGATGCTGCGAAGAGGGTACTGCATTACTTGTGCAGTACGTCGAGCATGGGGCTCATGCTTGGACGACAGGGTCCAGTTGTCCTCACTAGTCACGCAGACGCTTCTTGGGTTGACGACTCAGCTACGCACCGGTCGTCACAGGGTTACACCTTCAGCCTCGGCTCCTGCTCTGTTTCCTAGCGGTCTACCCGCTCGTCTTCGGTTCTCAGCTCCAGTTGTGAGGCTGAGATCTACGCAGGGGCCATGGCTGCACAGTAGCTACGCTGGCTCACCTACGTGCTGACTGTCTTGGGAGAGCAGCCTCGTTCGCCTCCAGTTCTGTACGTAGACAACAAGGCCATGATTGCCTTGTGTTAGGAGCACAGACTGGAGCACAGAATGAAGCACATCGCTCTCCAATACGTCCTTGCTCGAGAGTTGCAGTAGCGTGGCCAGCTTCGTCTTGCGTACGTGGCCACGAGGGCCAACACTGCTAATATATTCACCAAGGCACTTCAGTCTGGTGATCATCAGCGCTTCTCTACTGTGTTAGGCCTTCTGCCTACTTTGCCTCACTTGATCACTGCGTGACTTTGCTTGTACTGTGATCTATATATATACCTGCATGCTTACACTTGCTAGGGTAGGATCACTGTATTGTTTGTTCTCTTTTATATAACTTTGCATGTGAACTGGCCCTGTGGCCCGTTGCTTGTACTCAGACTGTGTGGTGACTTTGTGATCCACCCTGAGTTTGCTTTGCTTTTCTTGACTGGTCTTGTGACCACTTGTTCTCCCCCACTTTGCCTATGGGGTTATGTCAGAATGTTGTTAGAATACTAGCGTGACTTAGGAACCATGGCTTGGGTTCAGGGCATTAGTGTCGAGAGGATTTTGGGTGAGGAAAGTCGAGAAGGAAGAATGAGGGGTTTCACTGTAGAAAGTTAGGATACAAATAGCAAACCCTAAATTGGGTTGTACTCACTACAGAGTACCCCACTGCAGGCTAAACAGCAAATACATTCTGACACACCCCCATAGTCAAAGTGGGGTATAATCAGCAGAGCAAGCAGTCATAGAGCAGGTTCACAAGTACAAGCAAAGCTAGAGGCATTCACAAAGGGCAAGTGAGGAGGAGGCTGGACTGTGAGAGGAGATGAGATAGGAGGCGACGGCTGATGCTGCAGACACACGGGCAACAGGAGCGGCGCGCACTGTGGCTACCGGGGCCGTATCCCCGGACTACAGGAGTAACTGGCTCTGCGGCTAACTCTGAGCGGCAGGAGCAACGGACCCACAGGCGACAGGCGCAGCAGGCTCTCTGAGCCACCAGAAGCAGAGCCCCGGACTACAGGTGCTGCGGACGACAAGACGGCAGCCTCCGCTCAACCTTCCCCAACTGTCCCACCCCCCTTTCACACACCCCTTGCTGCACCCCTAGCTCCACTCCCACATCACCCCCCTAGCACCAGTCCCTCGGCTCCCACACATCCACCCCCCTCAGCGGCAGCTGCAGCAGTGGGAGACGGAGGAGGTGGAGCAGGGGACGGTTCACACACCTGCCACCCCCATACCCTCCCCCACTGCTGCACCTGCAGCAGGGGATGGAGAAGGGGGGGGGGGGCGGGGGGGGGGGGGGTGGGGGGGGGGCTGGTGCTGTAGATTTCCTGCCCCCCACTGCTGCACCCGCAGCAGGGGGAGGTAGGAAAAGGGTGGGGGGGGGGGGCTGGTGCTGCAGTGCAGCAGTGGGGGGGGGGGGGGGGGGGGGGCGGTGCAGGAGCCGCTCGGGCGACAGCAGGTTGGCCACACCCGCCACCCCCATACCCTCCCCCCCACTGCTGCACCCGCAGCAGAGAGATGGAGGAGAAGGGGGGCGGGGGGGGGCTGGTGCTGCAGGTCCCCTCCCCCCCACTGCTGCACCCGCAGCAGGGGGAGGTAGAAGAAGGGGGGGGGGGGGGGGGGGGTGGGGGGGCTGGTGCTGCAGATCCCCACCCCCCTTCTGCTGCACCCGCAGCAGGGAAAAGGGTGGGGGGGGGCTGGTGCTGCAGATCCCCTCCTGCCTCCCCCTAAACCTCCAAGCTCCCCCCCCTCTCCCAACACAAGGTGCGGCAGGGAGAGGAGGAGGCGTGGCGGCAGCTGCTGCTGCTGAGGCACATCCGCCACCCCCTCACACCCTCTCTCCGCCATCCCCATGGAGGGGGGGGAGGGGGGGGAGGGGGGGGAGGGGGGAGAGGGGGGCGGGGGCGAAGCTGCGCGTGCGACTATAGGGCACGCGAGCAGGAGGAACCCCTTCTTGCCACCCCCTCACCCACCATGTTGCAACAGGGCACCGGGGCCGCGGTTAGGGGCGGCAGGTCGCGAGGGGACATGGCTAGGGGCGACGGGGCCATGGCTAGGGACGGGGCCGGGCGCTGGGAAGGTACGGGGCCGGGTGCTGGGCTAGGGACGGGGCCGGGTGCTGGGCAGGTACGGGGCCGGGCGTTGGGCAGGTACGGGGCCGGGCGCTGGGCAGGTACGGGGCCGGGCGCTAGGCAGGTACGGGGCCGGGCACTGGGCAGGAACGGGCCGGGCACTGGGCAGGAACGGGGCCGGGCGCTGGGCAGGTATGGGGCCGGGCGCTGGGCAGGTACGGGGCCGGGCGCTGGGCAGGTACGGGGCCGGGCGCCGGGCAGGTACGGGGCCGGGCGCTGGGCAGGTACGGGGCCGGGCGCTGGGCAGGTACGGGGCCGGGCGCTGGGCAGGTATGGGGCCGGGCGCCGGGCAGGTACGGGGCCGGGCGCTGGGCAGGTACGGGGACGGGCGCTGGGCAGGTACGGGGCTGGGCGCTGGGCAGGTACGGGGCCGGGCTCTGGGCAGGTACGGGGCCGGGCGCTGGACAGGTACGGGGCCGGGCGCTGGGCAGGTTCGGGTCCGGGCGCTGGGCAGGTACAGGGCCGGGCGCTGGGCAGGTACAGGGCCGGGCGCTGGGCAGGTACGGGGCCGGGCTCTGGCCAGGTACGGGGCCGGGCGCTGGGCAGGTACGGGGCCGGGCGCTGGGCAGGTACGGGGCCGGGCGCTGGGCAGGTACGGGGCCGGGCTTTGGGCAGGTACGGGGCCGGGCGCTGGGCAGGTACGGGGCCGGGTGCTGGGCAGGTACGGGGCCGGGTGCTGGGCAGGTATGGGGCCGGGCGCTGGGCAGGTACGGGGCCGGGCGCTGGGCAGGTACGGGGCCGGGCTCTGGGCAGGTACGGGGCCGGGCGCTGGGCAGGAACAGGGCCGGGCGCTGGGCAGGTACAGGGCCGGGCGCTGGGCAGGTACGGGGCCGGGCGCTGGGCAGGTTCAGGGCCGAGCGCTGGGCAGGTACGGGGCCGAGCGCCGGGCAGGTACGGGGCCGGGCTCTGGGCAGGTACGGGGCCGGGCGCTGGGCAGGTACGGGGCCGGGCGCTTGGCAGGTACGGGGCCGGGCTCTGGGCAGGTACGGGGCCGGGCGCTGGTCAGGTACGGGGCTGGGCGCTGGGCAGGTATGGGGCCGGGCGGTGGGCAGGAACGGGGCCGGGCGCTGGGCAGTTACGGGGCCGGGCGCTGGGCAGGTTCGGGGCCGGGCGCTGGGCAGGTACGGGGCCGGGCGCTGGGAAGGTACGGGGCCAGGCTCTGGGCAGGTACGGGGCCGGGCGCTGGGCAGGTACGGGGCCGGGCGCTGGGCAGGTACGGGGCCGGGCGCTGGGCAAGTACGAGGCCGGGCGCTGGGCAGGTACGGGGCCGGGCGCTGGGCAGGTACGGGGCCGGGCTCTGGGCAGGTACGGGGCCGGGCGCTGGGCAGGTACGGGGCCGGGCGCTGGGCAGGTACGGGGCCGGGCGCTGGGCAGGTACGGGGCCGGGCGCTGGGCAGGTACGGGGCCGGGCGCTGGGCAGGTACGGGGCCGGGCTCTGGGCAGGTACGGGGCCGGGCGCTGGGCAGGTACGGGGCCGGGCGCTGGGCAGGTACGGGGCCGGGCTCTGGGCAGGTACGGGGCCGGGCGCTGGGCAGGTACGGGGCCGGGCGCTGGGCAGGTACGGGGCCGGGCGCTGGGCAGGTACGGGGCCGGGCGCTGGGCAGGTACGGGGCCGGGCGCTGGGCAGGTACGGGGCCGGGCTCTGGGCAGGTACGGGGCCGGGCGCTGGGCAGGTACGGGGCCGGGCGCTGGGAAGGTACGGGGCCGGGCGCTGGGCAGGTACGGGGCCGGGCGCTGGGCAGGTACGGGGCCGGGTGCTGGGCAGGTACGGGGCCGGGCGCTGGGCAGGTACGGGGCCGGGCGCTGGGCAGGTAAGGGGCCGGGCTCTGGGCAGGTACGGGGCCGGGCGCTGGGCAGGTACAGGGCCGGGCGCTGGGCAGGTACAGGGCCGGGCGCTGGGCAGGTACGGGGTCGGGCGCTGGGCAGGTTCAGGGCCGAGCGCTGGGCAGGTACGGGGCCGGGCGCCGGGCAGGTACGGGGCCGGGCGCTGGGCAGGTATGAGGCCGGGCGCTGGGCAGGTACGGGGCCGGGCGCTGGGCAGGTACGGGGCCGGGCTCTGGGCAGGTACGGGGCCGGGCGCTGGTCAGGTACGGGGCTGGGCGCTGCGCAGGTATGGGGCCGGGCGGTGGGCAGGAACGGGGCCGGGCGCTGGGAAGGTACGGGGCCGGGCGCTGGGCAGGTTCGGGGCCGGGCGCTGGGCAGGTACGGGGCCGGGCGCTGGGAAGGTACCGGGCCGGGCTCTGGGCAGGTACGGGGCCGAGCGCTGGGCAGGTACGGGGCCGGGCGCTGGGCAGGTACGGGGCCGGGCGCTGGGCAGGTACGGGGCCGGGCGCTGGGCAAGTACGGGGCCGGGCTCTGGGCAGGTACGGGGCCGGGCGCTGGGCAGGTACGGGGCCGGGCGCTGGGCAGGTACGGGGCCGGGCTCTGGGCAGGTACGGGGCCGGGCGCTGGGCAGGTACGGGGCCGGGCTCTGGGCAGGTACGGGGCCGGGCGCTGGGCAGGTACAGGGCCGGGCTCTGGGCAGGTACGGGGCCGGGCGCTGGGAAGGTACGGGGCCGGGCGCTGGGCAGGTACGGGGCCGGGCGGTGGGCAGGAACGGGGCCGGGCGCTGGGAAGGTACGGGGCCGGGCGCTGGGCAGGTACGGGGCCGGGCACTGGGAAGGTACGGGGCCGGGATCTGGGCAGGTACAGGGCCGGGCGCTGGGCAAGTACGGGGCCGGGCTCTGGGCAGGTACGGGGCCGGGCGCTGGGCAGGTACGGGGCCGGGCGCTGGGCAGGTACGGGGCCGGGCTCTGGGCAGGTACGGGGCCGGGCGCTGGGCAGGTACGGGGCCGGGCTCTGGGCAGGTACGGGGCCGGGCGCTGGGCAGGTACAGGGCCGGGCTCTGGGCAGGTACGGGGCCGGGCGCTGGGAAGGTACGGGGCCGGGCGCTGGGCAGGTACGGGGCCGGGCGGTGGGCAGGAACGGGGCCGGGCGCTGGGAAGGTACGGGGCCGGGCGCTGGGCAGGTACTGGGCCGGGCACTGGGAAGGTACGGGGCCGGGCGCTGGGCAGGTACGGGGCCGGGCGCTGGGCAGGTACGGGGCCGGGCGCTGGGCAGGTACGGGGCCGGGCGCTGGGCAGGTTCGGGTCCGGGCGCTGGGCAGGTACAGGGCCGGGCGCTGGGCAGGTACAGGGCCGGGCGCTGGGCAAGTACGGGGCCGGGCTCTGGGCAGGTACGGGGCCGGGCGCTGGGCAGGTACGGGACCGGGCGCTGGGCAGGTACGGGGCCGGGCGCTGGGCAGGTTCGGGGCCGGGCGCTGGGCAGGTTCGGGGCCGGGCGCCGGGCAGGTACGGGGCCGGGCGCTGGGCAGGTACGGGGCCGGGCTCTGGGCAGGTACGGGGCCGGGCGCTGGGCAGGTACGGGGCCGGGCGCTGGGAAGGTACGGGGCCGAGCGCTGGGCAGGTTCGGGGCCGGGCGCTGGGCAGGTACAGGGCCGGGCTCTGGGCAGGTACGGGGCCGGGCGCTGGGCAGGTACGGGGCCGGGCGCTGGGCAGGTACGGGGCCGGGCGCTGGGCAGGTACGGGGCCGGGCTCTGGGCAGGTACGGGGCCGGGCGCTGGGCAGGCACAGGGCCGGGCGCTGGGCAGGTACAGGGGCGGGCGCTGGGAAGGTACGGGGCCGGGCGCTGGGCAGGTACGGGGCCGGGCGCTGGGCAGGTACGGGGCCGGGCGCCGGGCAGGTACGGGGCCGGGCGCTGGGCAGGTACGGGGCCGGGCGCTGGGCAGGTACGGGGCCGGGCGCTGGGCAGGTACGGGGCCGGGCTCTGGGCAGGGACGGGGCCGGGCGCTGGGCAGGTACAGGGCCGGGCTCTGGGCAGGTACGGGGCCGGGCGCTGGGAAGGTACGGGGCCGGGCGCTGGGCAGGTACGGGGCCGGGCGGTGGGCAGGAACGGGGCCGGGCGCTGGGAAGGTACGGGGCCGGGCGCTGGGCAGGTACGGGGCCGGGCGCTGGGAATGTACGGGGCCGGGCGCTGGGCAGGTACGGGGCCGGGCGCTGGGCAGGTACGGGGCCGGGCGCTGGGCAGGTACGGGGCCGGGCGCTGGGCAGGTACAGGGCCGGGCGCTGGGCAGGTACAGGGCCGGGCGCTGGGCAAGTACGGGGCCGGGCTCTGGGCAGGTACGGGGCCGGGCGCTGGGCAGGTACGGGGCCGGGCGCTGGGCAGGTACGGGGCCGGGCGCTGGGCAGGTACGGGGCCGGGCGCTGGGCAGGTACGGGGCCGGGCGCTGGGCAGGTACGGGGCCGGGCTCTGGGCAGGTACGGGGCCGGGCGCTGGGCAGGTACGGGGCCGGGCGCTGGGCAGGTACGGGGACGGGCGCTGGGCAGGTACGGGGCCGGGCGCTGGGCAGGTACGGGGCCGGGCGCTGGGCAGGTACGGGGCCGGGCTCTGGGCAGGTACGGGGCCGGGCGCTGGGCAGGTACAGGGCCGGGCGCTGGGCAGGTACAGGGCCGGGCGCTGGGCAGGTACGGGGCCGGGTGCTGGGCAGGTTCAGGGCCGAGCGCTGGGCAAGTACGGGGCCGGGCGCTGGGCAGGTACGGGGCCGGGCGCGGGCTAGGTACGGGGCCAGGCGCTGGCGACAGACGGGGCCGGGCGCGGGCTAGGTACGGGCCGGGCGCGGGGCTAGGAACGGGTCGGTCGCGGGCGAGGTACGGGGCCGGGCGCTGGCGAGGGACGGGGCCGTTCGCGAGGCTAGGTACGGGCCGGACGCGGGCGAGAGACGGGGCGGGGCGCAGGCGTAAGACGTGGCCGGGCGCGGGCTAGGTACGGGCCTGTCACGGGATAGGTACGGGCCGGGCGCGGGGCTAGGAACGGGCCGATCGCGGGCTAGGTACAGGCCGGGCGTGGGCTAGGTACGGGCCGGGCGCGGGCGGCGGAATCGACGGGGCCAGCGGGGCCGAGGGGCCGAGCTAGGGGCGACGGGGCCAAGGGGCCGAGCCTAGGGGCTAGGGGCGACGCCAAGGGGCGACGGGCCGGGGCCTAGGCTAGCAGGGCATTAGGTGGTGGGCCCATTGATGTTAGGTCCTAGAAATTATTGCTCTTAATACCATGTTAGAATACTAGCGTGACTTAGGAACCATGGCTTGGGTTCAGGGCATTAGTGTCGAGAGGATTTTGGGTGAGGAAAGTCGAGAAGGAAGAATGAGGGGTTTCACTATAGAAAGTTGGGATACAAATAGCAAACCCTAAATTGGGTTGTACTCACTACAGAGTACCCCACTGCAGGCTAAACAGCAAATACATTCTGACAAATGTTATAGTGCTTACATTTGTGTAGGTTATAGCGGGGTAGCCCATAAGGGGTACAACCCAATTAGGGTTAGTACTTGTGGTCTGTTCAATGCATTCATTCTCGTTTGTTAGTTTTGACTTTACGCCCATAACCCCCGAGGCCAACATGCCTGTAATTCTTCTTTAGGATCAATCGGGGATCAACAGTGAACCTTTGACAACACCTTCAAAGGCTAGGTTAGCTAGAGTACCACTTTTCCTCCTCACCATCCTGCATATGGCTCGCATGAATGTACATCCACTTCTCGGTTGTTCATTCCCATTAGGGCGTGTGCGATATTTTTTGGAGTTCGTAAATCCGGTGGAACTTTGGGTGGTAACCTGTTTCGCCAATGTCGCAAATATTCTTCGTCAATGTTGACTCAATTCGGAATATTACCAAATGCGAACATAACAAAGTGAACAAGAGTAGAAAATATAGGCAAACGGGGTTTTGCATGAAGAACCGAACGTGTGTGATTTCTGGCACGTACGAGGAGTCAGCGAAGCTCGCGAATCATTCGTGCACCAATATGCTAGAAAGGCATAGTGCCGTCGTAGCGGAAGCCTTGATTGTATAACAGAACTGAACTGAAAGCTTTGCAATGGAATGGATTGGTTATGGCATCTCACTGCAGGGTACAATAGACTGTTTGGCAACACAATAGATGCACAATCGTGACCAGGAGCAGAGTCACTCTCGCAAAAAACACCACGTGGCATGTGTCGTGGCACGACGACGTTACGCCGATGCTGATATGAGAGAACACCACGCTGATGCTGAAAGGCATAGTGCCGTCGTAGCGGAAGCCTTGATTGTATAATAGAACTGAACTGAAAGCTTTGCAATGGAATGGATTGGTTATGGCATCTCACAGCAGGGTACAATAGACTGTTTGGCAACACAATAGATGCACAATCGAGGCCAGGAGCAGAGTCACTCTCGCAAAAAACACCACGTGGCATGTGTCGTGGCACGATGACGTTACGTCGATGCTGATATGAGAGAACACCACGCTGACGCTGACGCAGAAAACGCACCAGTTGTATGAGAGACATTTTGTGATGCTGAGTTGGAGTATGGGCTGAGCACTCCGATATTTGTAGAGTGCTCAACTGTCTGGGGCGCAATGTCTAGCTGGAGGTCTAGCTAGAACTTTTGGGAGGTGCGATTCGTTGACGTGTCGCACTGTCATGAAGACAATACCGGGTAACCTATGCACCTTATAGGCAGCTCGGTTCACCCCAGTAATATCGAACCTGCAAATTCGCACTTGCGTGTGTGATTGTGAGCCGAGCACCTTTGGCACCTGCAGTTCGAACATTGATATGTCAAACATATATGATATAGCATGTGTAGGCTGTAGTGGGGTAGACACTATGGGGTACAGCTTTTCTAGGTTTTCATATTTGTACCCATCTCCTTTCTAGTCAACCCTCATTCCTCGTACATTTCTCACATGGTATAGAGCGGGTTCCCTAGTGGGACCATTTTTTTAGGGCCCACCACGTACTATTTTTTTTTTCTGCCCTGCCCGAAGCGCGCTCCTTGCCCTGTCGCGCGCCTCGCGCCTGCCTTACCTGCGCCCCGTGCGCCTGCCCTGCCGTCGCGGCCCTGCCGTTGCGGCCCCTACCGTCGCGCCCCCCCTGCCGTCGCGGCCCCTACCGTCGCGGCCCCTGCCGTCGCGGCCCCTGCCGTCGCGGCCTCTGCTGTCGCGGCCCTTGCAGTCGCGGCCCCTACCATCGCGGCCCCTGCATTCGCGGCCCCTACCGTCGCGCCCCCCCTGCCGTCGCGGCCCCTACCGTCGCGGCCCCTGCCGTCGCGGCCCCTGCCGTCGCGGCCTCTGCTGTCGCGGCCCTTGCAGTCGCGGCCCCTACCATCGCGGCCCCTGCATTCGCGGCCCCTGCCGTCGCGGCCCCTGCCGTCGCGGCCCCTGCTGTCGCGGCCCCTGCCGTCGTGGCCCCTGCCGTCACGGCCCTGCCCGATCCCGTCACGGCCCTGCCGCCCTGCTGACGTGGCTCCGCCGCCCTCCAGTCGCGGCCCTGACTTCCGCCGTCGCGGCCCTGCCCTGCCGTCGCGGCCCTGCCGTCCTGCCGTCGCGGCCCTGCCTCCCTGCCGTAGCGGCCCTGCGTGGAGCCGTCGCGGACCTGCCGCCCTGCTGTCGCGGCCCCGCCTGAAGCTGTCGCGGCCCTGCTCGGCCGCTGTCGCGGCCCTGCCTGCAGCTGCTGCGGCCCTTCCTACAGCCGCAATCGCGGCCCTGCCTACTGCCGATGTTGCGGCCCTGCCAATCGCCGTTGTTGGCGGCCCTACCCTGGTAAGCGCACTGCCGCACCCGCGCCGCCCTTGCGAGCCGCTCCGCCCTGCCAAGTCGCGCTGCTCCTGCTGCTACTGCTGCTGCTAGGCTACTGCTGCTGCTCCTGCTGTCATGCCTAGCCCTAATGTTCTTACCTTCAATGCTGAGGGTCGAGCGGTCGATTTTAAGGTCTGGGTCGATGATCTGCAGCTTTTTCTGCAGTGTGACTCTAAGGACGGAGTCTCACTGTTCGACCACACGTCCGGCGTCGCTGTTGCCCCTGCTGACTCCCTTCGCTCGGTCAGAGACCACTTCCTCTCCCTTTGCCCCACCACGCTCACCGTTGACCTCCTCGAGGAGCGCCTCCTTGCAGCAGAGAAAAGTATAGTCGCTGTAGGAGCCTCTCGTGGTGACCCTCGTGCCCCTTTCTTTGAGGGGTGCTCCCCCGTCCCTCTTTTGCCCTCTGTTGCCTCTGCTGCTGCTGTCGACCTCGTTGGCACCGAGTCGGTCGGAGCTGCGTCTGCTCATAGTGGGAGGCGCCGCAGCGGCAGGAGCAAGGGGGGCAAGGGTGCTGGAGGGGATGGCGGGGGCGGCGGTGGTGGCGATGGAGGCGGTGGAGGGGGTGAGGGTGGAGGTGGGGGTGGTGGTGGGAGTGGGGGCTTTGGTAGCGGTGGTGGAGGTGGAGGCGGCGGAGGCAGCGGCACTGGGGGTGGAGGTGGCGGCGGCGGCGGCGGAGGCGGTGGGGGTAGCGGCGGCGGTAGTGCTGGTCGGGGTGGCGCTGTCCAGCGGGGAGGCTTTGGCGGTGGCCGGCGCCAGCAGCAGCAGCGCCCTCGTGAGACCATGTCGCCCCAGCAGCTTCGTGAGTGGTACGCTGGGCGTGGGAGGTCTGGGGGTGCTGGTCCCTGCGCTTACGTTCTCCGCACCGGCGACCGCAGTGGAGAGACGTGCGGCGGCCCGCATGCCACGCTCCGCTGTTTCGGCCGCCTAACTAACGCTTGGCGTACACAATTTCCTGACGCCACTGAGATCCCTCGCTGGGGTGATATGCTTAAGTCGGGGGTTGCTATCTTTGATCTTCATTATGCTGCTATCCTTGCTGCTATGTACGTTGTGTCTATTGGTGCTGAGGGTGACTGTTACCTGTGTGTTCCGCCCGGCCCGGGCATTGAGGCTACTGCTCTAGGTGCTAGTGAGTCTGCAGCTCCAGGTGCTGGTGAGGCTGCTCTCTCAGGTACCGCGTCGGCTCAGGTCTTGCACACTTTCACCCTTGACTCGGGTGCTTCCCGCTCCTTTCGCGACTGCACCACACTCTCGCCGCTCAGTCGGCCGGTGGCAGTCTCTCTGGCTGACCCCTCTGGGGGTCCGGTCCTTGCACACTCCTCCACGGTTCTGCCGTGTCCGGCGGTCCCGTCTGGCTCTTTGTCTGGCCTCCACCTCCCCTCGTTCTCCACGAACTTGGTGAGTGGAGCTGATCTTCAAGATGCGTGGGTTGACCAGTTCACTCCTGGAGGTCAGCGGGTGACCCACTGTTCGTGTACTCAGACGGGCCGGCACCTGGCCACGTTCACTCGCGAGCCTGGGTCGAGCCTGTACACCCTGACTACCGTGCTTCCTCCGGTTGCTGAGTCTGGTCAGGTAGCCGTGTCGGGTCAGGTGTTTGCTGCAGCGTCCCGGTCTGGTCCTAAGTTTGCCCCCTGCTCGTGTCGCCTCCTGTCTCACCAGACTCTCCTCTGGCACCACCGCCTTGGTCACCCCTCCCTGCCTCGTCTCCGAGGCATGGCCTCCCGTGTCCTTGTCACTGGTCTTCCCCGGTCTCTCCCTCCCCTCCCCCCGGGGCCTGCCCCTACCTGCGTTCCTTGCGTCGAGGGGCGGCAGCGCGCCGCTCCTCACTCCTCCGAGTTCCCTCCGACGGAAGCTCCCCTGCAGACTCTTCACATGGACGTGTGGGGCCCCGCACGCGTCCGTGGACAGGGTCACGAGCGCTACACCACAG